CCCCCCCCCCGGGCCCTGCCGCTTTCCCAGGCCCCCCCAGCGGGGGATGGCAGCAGCTGGGCCCCCTCCCCACTCCTCTGCCTCCCCCACCAGCACCTGGAGGGGGGAGGGACCAGCCATGCCCCGCCACACACCTTGCAGGGGGCACTGATCCCCATCCCCACTTTCACCCTGGCCCTACAGGAGGGGGCTGAGCCGGGCTCCTGCCACCCCCTCCCCGCCAGCCTTGCAGAACCAGGCCCACTCCCCGATCCTGCAGCCTCTACACGGGGACTGGAGCCGGGCCCGATCCCTGGACTCCCAGCCTTGCAGCGGGCACCAAGCCGGGCTCCCCCATCTCCCAGCCCCCAGGGCCTTGCTGAGGGCCCTGATCCTGCAGCCTCTACAGGGGGGAATGGAGCCAGGCCTGATCCGATCCCTCATGACCCCCAGCCTTATAGTGGGGACCAGGACCTGCAGCCTCTACACGGGGACTGGAGCCGGGCCCGATCCCTGGACTCCCAGCCTTGCAGCGGGCACCAAGCCGGGCTCCCCCATCTCCCAGCCCCCAGGGCCTTGCTGAGGGCCCTGATCCTGCAGCCTCTACAGGGGGGAATGGAGCCAGGCCTGATCCGATCCCTCATGACCCCCAGCCTTATAGTGGGGACCAGGACACACCCCTGCCCCGACCTTGCAGAAGGCCCCAGTCCCTGATCCGGCAGCCCCTCCAGAGTGGGGACAGAGCCGGGCTCGATCCCTGACGACCCCCAGCCTTATCGTGGGAACCAAGCCGGGCTCCCCTCTTTAACCCCCTCCCTCCGAGCCTCGTTGAAGGAGCAGGGATGAGGCCCTCAGCCTCTACAGCGGGAAGGAAGCTGGGGCAGATCCCCGATGACCCCAGCCTTACAGAGGGGGGCAAGCGCAGCTCCCCACCCCGGCCGTGCCGAGGGCCCCGATCCCTGACCCTGCAGCCTGTCTGGGGTGGGGGGGGAAGGATCCCCAATGACCCCCAGCCTTATAGCGGGCACCAAGCCAGGCTTCTCCCTCCAAGCCGCGCCGAGGGTCTGATCCCTGATGCTCTCCAGGGGCAACAGAGCCAGGCTGCATGCCCGCTGCCCCCAGCCCCCGAGCGGGGACCACCCCTGCCCCTCTCCAGGGGCCCCAGCGCGCAGCCCGGACCTGAAGTCGCTGTAGGGGTGGATGATCCAGGCTCCGGCCGACTTGACGCGCTCCTGCTCGCGCTCCACCGCCTTCTGCGAGCCGAACATCCGCAGCGAGAACTTGTTGACGCCGGGCTGCAGCAGGGCGCCGAACTGCCGCTGCATGAAGCTGGCCTGGCTGCCCCGCGCCTCCTCGCCGGCCG